TCTAATTTATTTCTTTTATTGAAAACAAAATTATCCGTTTGAAAACATCGCCTATCAGAATAACATGTAGTAAGCAGCTGCAAACTTTTTAACCGGAACTAGAGTAGGTGCCGAGCTCGAGATTGTTATTGTTTACATTTTTATTGAAAACACCATCCATATTGGTGATCGAAATGGGCTGCAGGTGGCGTAGAGCAGAACTCTCTACCCATGGGAACACTTCGCATGCTTTCCCCGTTAGCGCGTGGAGAGTCACAGAGGAAAGAAGTACGTTAGTTTCTCTCTTGATTTTCATATAGATTAAAATCTTTTAAGTTGGAAAACTATATGGAACTGAAAACTACATTAAACATAGTTCTAAAGAAAAGCATCATGGAAATTTTAAAAAAATATTTTTATTAAATAAAAAGGAAAAATATTAAGAAAAAGAAAATATCGTAGTACATTCCTATGCAACTGAAAGAGGAGGAGAGGGACGGGAGAAGGGCCAAAGGCATGAAACCGGTCTCTCCCCAGATGGCGTATTCGAGCGTTGCGATCGCCAATAGCCAACGAGGGATAACACTCAAAATATGGCAAATCTTACACTTTATTTATGCAGTAATATAAATTTTCTCATATTTGTTTTACTCTCACAACCTGTTGGAATTTATAAATTGCATAAAACTCTTATGAATTGTAAAATTACCCGTAAATTTAAACACATATCACAATAATAAAACTTCTTAGAATATTAAGCCTGTTCCCACATCACCTGCGCCTTGTAAGACACATCGAATACACTGGAAGATTTCTAAATTTTTTTCGGTTTTGGGAAGCTTGTTAATGTTTACACTCGTTGACAGCTTGTAAAAAGAAGTTTTGAAAACTTCAGGTGTATCCATTCGTTTATGTTATGCTTGCGAGACGATATGTAAACAGGCTTAATATTTAATGAAGTTTTATTATTGTGTTTTGTGTTTAAATTTACGTAATTTTACCATTGATAAGATTTTTTTGTAATTTATACATTCTAACAGGTCGTGAGCCTAAAACGAATGAGGTGACTATGGTAACGAGGTATAACTATTTCAAGTAGGTGTGTGGGACCACTTTTTAGGATATGTTTTGGCCTTTGGCTCGCGTCGGCGAGAGAATGGGAATCTTTTTCTTCGGTCTATTGTGTTAGCCTTAGAGAAAAAAACCACCTTCCCTGAAACGCGCTATTCTTGTTTCCATAGCAGCAGGCGGCCGAGGACTTCGTGGTGGAGGGAGTTCTTACCGCAGACAAACTATACTTGCACTCCAAGAGGAAGATCACAATACCCGCTCTTGTAACCTATGACGTCAGTTCCAGCTGATCGTTTATCAGCAAAATAGCGTGTTAAAGTTGAGCTCTATGTAAGTCAGAATGTAACTTAACGTGAATTTAATTATATACAGTGACTTGCTTATGTATTTTATTGTAACCGTGATATATTTCTGTTTCGTGTACCTGGTAACTTCGATACATAATTAGTTTGTTTATGTTTCACATGCCTTTCTTTGTGTTAAGTAAGAAATATATAGTGAAAAAGTCGAAATCTTTATGAAAGAATAAAGACTGACTGCGAACATAGACTGGCTGCAAGAATATAGACAAATATCACTGGCTGTGGTCAGTAAGCGGGTGGGTGACCACATTGATGAGCCTGTGAAGGGACCCAGGGTGAGCCGAATCGGGCCTCGCTGAACTGTTCTACCGTAAAGTGCTCGATTTCGCTCAGGTCGTCGGGCTGCAAAAGCAGGAGAGCCATCCCCTCTGCAGAGGGTCGAAATTTCGATGGCACGTCATCCTCAGGGATGTTTCCAAGACAGTCGCCAATAGCCCATTGTGCAGCTCTAGTGCGACGTAAATAAAGTACCTACCTACTTACTTGTGTTAGTAGCTTCTCATATTTCTTTACTTATTTAGTTTCTCGTGGAGGTCGCACACTTCGAATGCAAATGACATACAGGAGTCGAATTATCTCTTGCCTGCATTAGCATGAGCATTTTTCCTTCTGTATGTCTTTTCTTTCTCCAAAAAATGGTCTACCTTGGTGAATATTATAATTTCATTGAAAATTTAAAAAAATACCGTCCTTATTTACATAAGAGTAATATATCGTTCTTTCTCTATGCTTAGAAATATGTTTTAAATAAAATCAAAATGACAAATACACATTTTTAAATCACAAAGTATGCCAAAATTAGAATATCAAAACCAGTTTGTTAGCTTTGGAAGCACCAAAGGAGTTTCTATTTATCACCTTATACCATTTCCGGTTTAATTATTCAAATTAATTGGGTTTTGATGCTGTTAATCCTTCACTACCCAATTAACAGCAATAATTCTTTATTGGGTTCTTATTTCTTCTATCTACTAATAATAATAACAACAGTTGAAGTTTTATTTTTACGAAAAATACTTATATAAAATTTAAAAATACAGAATAAATATGGAAAAAATATGATAAAGATTTAAAAGAAAGAAAAATATTGAAAAAATAGTTTTAAATATTCAAAAAATCAATTTTATTTAAGGAATTTTAAAAAGTCGGAAAACAAAAATAATTAAAATATATAATATATATTATATCTTTTCATTATTTTTGCTTTCCGTTTTTTTTTTAATTTTTTCTTTTTTTAATAAAAATGATTTTTTTAAGAATTAAAAAATATTTTGCTTTAATAATTTTTCCTCATTTTACATAAATTTTTATTATATTTTCCCCATGTTTTCTCTGTATTTTTGATGTATTGTAGTAATTCTATATACTTGCAACTCTTGTGTAGTAAATAAAACTATTATTTTTATTCATTCTCCTTATTATCCTTACTTTGTTATTCTCATTGNTATATATATATATCATCACTTGCTATACCATCAGCATAAACACTAGATTGCCCAAGGAAGTCATTTTGACAGGTTTTTAGTTTCAATTAGAAAAACAATGAAGTATATTATGACACAATTTCTTAGAATTTTGTGACTTTTTGTGCAACATATAATTTTTTTTGCTGTTAATATTTACTAATAACTTGTTGTGTAACTGTAAATAATATAAAAAAAAATATTAAAATGATTTTCAAACGAATTTCTTTACACATTCCATTCATTTTGACTGCTTTTGGGTAATATACATAGTATGCATCATTCTTTCCAGTGTTAAAGAATGATGATTAACTCAAACAAGAGCTTCTATTTATATTCCTTATGCTATCCATTCTTTTGTAATAGTTATTATTAAACTCATTCTGTAAAAAACTTATGCTCTTTTAAAGCCAAATCTTTTAACAACTGATATTGTAAATAGATATAGGGATTAAAAAAAGCTTATTTTTTCTAAAATGAACTATACAAAAATAAACTTTCTATCATTCTTCTCTGACATCCCTCGGCAGATATCCAAAGTAAAACCTGGTAATATCCATTGGACTTGTTGATTTTAAATTATGAACTGAAACAAAAAGGCTGTTTTTAATAAATGTAAATAAATTGCGATTTCAGTGGAATTTGCTAAGAAATTTTACCTACTTGAGAGAAAGCTACAGAAAGTTCTAGGAATAATTTTTGACTTAAGGGCAGTCGTTATTTGATTCCTTTATGGTTTATTATAGTTATTTATAGAGTAACCTTTACACAATAAAAGTATTGATTGCCATAAAT